TTTGAAACCATGAATCGATCAATGTTAGACCACCGTTAGAAACCTGGGAGCGCTGGACGGCCGTTCCATCCTCGTATGGGACTCCTCAGCAGTGCGCATCCATGACTCGTGCACCCCGCAGGATTCGAACCCAGGACCCTCGGTATGTGCTCGAACGTCTAACCACCAGACCACTGAGGCGGTATCTAACGGTGTTAATGTCTAAACTGATCAGTTCGAAGGTCCTGGGTTCGAATCCTGTGGGGTGCAGGAGTCGTCGATGCGCACTGCTGAGGAGTCCCATACCAGGACGAAACGGCCGTCAGGGTTTCCAATGATGGTCTAACATTGATCGATTCATGGTTTCAAAATTGCAACTTAACAATGTTCACAACCCCGTAACGAAAATTGATTTTAATCAATTTTGATATATTTCGATTATTTATCTTGAATTTTTCAATAACTTAGGTCATTCATGTGAAGATTTACAAAATTGAATGAATTACAAGCTAATAGACTGATTGTGTTACGTTTTATGTAGAATGCATCTTTTTCATGAGTCAATTATCAACCCAACCATACAATATTCACAAAATACATCAAACATTATTCAAGAATTTAAAGAGCACAATTAAAAATACAGACATGTAGAACGAAAAATGCTTTATCAATATAAAACTTCCAATTACAGACTTGTTATAGAATCGAATTTTTAAGGTGATAATAAATTTGCTATTGAATGCACTGTGAAACGTTTCAATGGCTTTTTTCTCAACAAAATATCCTGGTACTCAATTCTATAAACTAGTTAGATCGATTATGACTTGAATGATTTTAACCAATTTACTAAGCAATAAGCATGAGTGACTGCAAGTTCAATAAATATCAGTAATATTACGTCATCCATAATGAAAAGTCACATGATTCTATGTGCTTTCGTTCATGTGTTTTTAGAGCATAATAAATGATTCAATCTATTACGCACTTAATGATCCTTAGTATGGATAACTAATAATAATAATAATCAAATTGCACAATGTTAGTATGGTTTTCAATTGCATTAAACTAATGCAGATATTTCTAGTTGATTGTATATTAGTTGTGAATAATTGTATATAACCAGCTGTTCGACTATGGCTTATAAATAAACAATTTCAAAATCAATAGAAAATGGAAAATTAACACCGTTGTATGCTGACTCAACTGTTCGCGCGCAAGATCAACGGTCCTCGGTCTGATTCTCTCTCATTGGGACGAGTGTGCACTGCTGATAGATCTCATATTAGGATGAACTGCTGAAAGTTTCCGTAATATTCATAATGCTAAGCTTTCTGCATTACAATTTGCTGCAAATTACCCATGATAATGCTTGATGTGTAAACAACCATATGAGAAAACATTAAATAAACAGTTTAAAGAATGTTAGAATGCAATTTGATAAATGTAGTAACAAAGCGTATTGAGTCTGATAAGAGTAAGAACATTTTTAGTATTTTACGAAAATTATAAAGTCTATGTGAGCATCTACATCTTTTATACGCTTCAGAACAGACATGCCTATATGAACAAAAATCAGTTTCAACTCATTAATGAATTAACAGTTCCAAATATCTGTTTCAGAAGTTATAGATGGGAAAAGAAATATTCTTTCTCACATTCACATTAAGATGATTTCTATGAATATCAAAGCAGAAGATAAGAAGTCAATGAAACCGTACAAAATAAGGATGAGGATTGATATGGCTGTTCTTTGAGCTTGAGAACGAAACACCACAATAATCATCCACCTGAGCTACAAATTTTCTCCACCATTGATATTGTTGTTATTGGCGGTTGCTTTTTTTTCATGCACACGCAGTAAAACTGTACTGAATTCCTGACTCTCGGTTTCTGATTTCTAAAACTTTTGATATTTCAACTAATTCTATGAATACTATAGGCAACTGAAAAAGATTTTTTAAATGTAATCTCACGGTCTCTTAAATATCATAAGTTTTCATTAGGGTGTTATATTGTGTAAATGTTGGGGATGTTAGATCCCCAGAACTCGCTTGATAAATATCTTTATTTTGGATTTTATTCATGGGCGGATCAGTTGACCTTGAGATCACATTTCCCACCAGGAAAATCCTTGGCTGTGATTGGTTACTGTGTCATTGTAGTGTGCTACTTTTGTGACTGTCCCAAGGACGTCTCTGTGGAGTATAAATAAACGCATTTTGAGTGCTTGGATTCATTGTGTGCTGGCTGGGTGTTTGTAGAATACAATTTCTACGCTATATCAAGACTTCTTGCTGATACAATTTGGTCAAGGGATCATAGTAGCCTACCTGGACGCCGGTTCATTGTTTTGTTCTTGTTATTCTACCTCGGTGAACCCGTAATAATTTTACGCATACCTAGAGACGAGTATAACAATGTTTTACAATTAGTGTAGAACATAAAACTTCGAGTGATTAGCAAACAGTGGTGCGGATGATTTCTGACAATAAAACTTTGAAATCATCAGTCGATCATTGTTAGACCACCATTTGAAACCTGGAAGCACTGGACGGCTGTATCATCCTGGTATGGGACTCATCAGTGGCAGTGCGCATCCACGACTCCTTCACTAGGACGAAACGGCCGTTCAGTGCTTCTAGGTTTCTAATGGTGGCCTAACATTGATTGATTGATGATTTCAAATGTGTGAAAACACAAACCTCCAAAACTCTGCCCCAAAATAAAACCTTGATCTTATTCTTTTATCATTCCTACTAAGTATGAACTTATTCAAATTAACAGAATCTTCTAAGCAAAATTATCATTACAAAATTAGAATCATTCTCTCTGTATGCATTAAACTAAATTTAGAGGTCGAAAATTGAAGATGACTCCTCGAAAAATACTTACTCATGAAACACCTAAAAAATCTAGATAGTATTAATCAAGTGCATATTTTTTCCTTAAGGAAGTTTTCATGCAGCCAAAAGTACAGTCCAATTGTGAAGCTGATATCTGGAAAGCTGTGAACATACCGCGGGGTAGATTAATAGCTGATAAAATATTCCACTAATAGAGTATAACGCATGATGAATCGAAATTCTATAATAACTAGAAACAGTATTTGATGATAATTTATCTTTATGACAAATCGAAGAATGAGCTATTAAGAGACGAAGTAGTCTCTAATGAGAACTATCAGAATATAAAAACAGATGTTAGCCAACGTGACACTTTCTTTTATCAGTGTACCTAAATAGAGTAAAGTAACGTAAACACGGACAGCAGTTTGCATAAACACTCCTAGTTTCATTATTATTATTACTATTATTATTATTATTATTATTATTATTTTAAATGATACGAGATCCTAAAATGTGAGTATTCTCATTTTAAAAATGAAAGATCATCATACAATTTCAAATTATTCACATAAAGATAGCAATAAATTTTTGTTTGTAATGAAACTCTCTGTAGTCAGGTTAAATATGCGTTGCATGTTCAATGGTGATCGTTTTCTTTTCTTCCGTGTAAATAATGCTTCGAATCAAAAGAAAACTCTTCTTGTCAACGAATATTTTGACAGGATCATAGTGGCAAATACTCGTTTGAAAACTATACTTTCATATAAACTAGACTCTCCAAAGTACGTTATCTTCGTTGCTGCATAATTCACAATTTTTTTTGTTTGTCATTTACAGACGTCTCAGATGTACAAGGAATAATTTACATTTGAATTTGTTCAGTGCAATTTTACTACGATGTGTTTTACATTTCATTAAGCATGCAGCAGATGGACAAGGGGTAAGTGTGATTTAACTGATAAGATTATAAATCTATTTAGTACTTCGTTGTTGTATGTAAGCACATTGTATGTATACATTTCAAGTGAATACATGGTAGAGTGCCGATGACGTTATTTGTATTTGTATTACGAAGTTGTGAAGATTGTTAAGTTACACATTTTGAAACCATGAATCGATCAATGTTAGACAACCATTAGAAACATGGAAGCACTGAAACACGGCCTTTTCGTCCTGGTATGGGACTCCTCATCAGTGGCAGTGCGCATCCACGACTCCTGCACCCTGCACGATTCGAACCCAGGACCTTCAGTATTGTGCGCGAACGCCTTACCATCGGACCACTGAGCCGGTATCTAACGGTGTTAATGTCTAACTTGATCAATTCACGGAGTTGCGCAACCTGATACACAGTCTTCAGTAGTTACTGTCTACACTCGAACAGGTTGAACTTCACTGGTCACGTCTTCCCACTAGAACTCGGAGAAGATTCCTCACGAAGCTAGTCACTAGTGAGCACAGGAAATCTGCATTATGGGGTTGTGAAGATTTTTAAGTTACATATTTTCGAAACCATGATCCGATGGTTAGGCGTCCGCCTACAATACAGAAGGTCCTGTGTTCGAATCCCACGGGGTGCAGGAGTCGTGGATGCGCACTGCCACTAATGAGTCCCATACCAGGACGAAAAGGCCGTGTTTCAGTGCTTCCATGTTTCTAATGTTGGTCCAACATTGATTGATTCATGGTTTCAAAAATTTGTATTTGTGTCAAAGTTTTCATTTTATCAATAAAGAATTTCAAATCGTAAATTCAAGTATCCTATTGACAATAATCAATGGTTTGTGACTGAAACTAAATATGATTCAACAATCACTATGAATCTTATGTGAATAGTAATCAAGTGCTCACAAGTGTTAAATGACTGAAATTAATAATTACTGACGTTCTAATGGAAACTGTTCAACCACATCAAGTGCAACGTATTCATTCCTCTCTATGAAAGATTATCACGTACTTTTTTCCACCGACTGTAATAATACAAACATATTATTTTTTTTAAATATCATGAATCGTTAAAAGTTAAGTATGTGTAGAGAGAGAGAGCTCCATGATATCCCATTTGTCCATGAAGTTAAGAGTCTTTCCATGGGATACTGCGACCAAATTCGATTGCTTGTGATGGAATTATGAATATGGACTTCTACAGAGTCCCATAATACAAACTGAAACAACTCTTCCAGTGTTTCTTGTTTATAAAGGATGAATCAGCTAAAATCGATTCGTTGTTTCAACTATGAATAAATAATATAGAAAGTTAAAATCAAATATCTTAGGGAAAACTATGCTTAGTTGGTTGGTTTATAAAACTGTGATCGATAAAACTGAAAATATTTAAATAGGATCATGATGATGAGAATTACAAATCTTGAATTGGTAAAATTCCATGTGGATAGACTTGTTTCATATAATTATTCTCAAATGAAAAAAAACCGAAATTAGATAAATAAACGATCTTATTGAAGTACATAAAGAGATTTTCTTTTACACTCTCTGAGTATATTTTTGACAGCTGGCATTTTTATATTAACTCATAACTATTCATACTGTTGGTGTTTTTAACTCTTCATGGAATCATCTCACTGGTTGCTTGAAGAATGATGAAGCCAATCATAAAGGTATATTTGACCGTCTCTTTTTAGCCGATAAGTTAACCAAAATAAACGGTATATCATTAGAACTGTTGGGGATGTTAGATAAACCCAGAACTCGCTTGTTAAATGCCTTATTTTGGATTTCATGTTTGCCAGCATGGGTTGA